TGGCAGCGCGGCTGGGCCCTGCACCGGGCTCTCCGCAGAAGGGAGCCTTCCGGGCGAGCTCGCTGCCTGTCAGACTTCCCGGCTGTTAGAAAGGTTTATGAGCTTCGTTGAAGAGAAAGAGAGGACGGAAAGAAAAACAACCCACAAGAGCAAACAGCAGAACCCCCAAAGTGAGCTTGCGCAGGACCCTGCAGGGGTCCCTGCCAGGAGCGTCCCGGCTTCCTTCCTCCCTGCTGCCCAGCGCGTCCTGGGCCAGCGGGGTTATGTTGGGTAGTTTGCAAGCATGCGGAGTCCTGCCCTCGGGGCTCCCCGGTAATCTGAATTGTAGAATCATAGAATAGTTAGAGTTGGAAGGGACCACGGAGATCATCTAGTCCAACCCCCTGCAGTAAGGAGGGAACATCTTCCACTAGATCAGGCTGCCCAGAGCCCCATCCAACTAGGCAGTAACTTAATATTTACATGCTGTAGCTGTAATTTGTAGTAGCTTCCCAGTGTTTCTTCTCAGTTTCTCGTCCATAAAATAAACTAGGCCTACGTAGTGCACTGAACACTGACATGCTTCCAGTTCCCTTACTTGAAAAAAAGAGTTTTGCTGGATTTGAGGGAGAGATTATTGGGATTTTCTTATCCCTAAAATGCTGCAGAAGTTCTTATTGTGGACTTTAACTAATTAACACTGTTACTGGGCTCCCAACATTTAGTGCTTTTGTAATCTAGACAAATACAAGGAAGTAATTATTTTTCAGCTGCTGTACATGAGCAAGCCATGACAATGTCATGATTGATTTCCAATGACAGTATTTACTTTGGTGGGAATTTGAATCTGTATCCGTTTGGGATGATGATGTCTGGGAATGCCTCTGACCTTTGTCGTCAGTTAAAATGTTGGTTGTATTGCGGTCATATTTAGCAGGTTTGTGTTCAGTGGTTATTAAAAAGAAGATTGGAAATACACAACAGCTTTCTAAAGTGTGCTGGAAAAATTTGTTGGTGTGTGTGTCCCTCTCCAGGATTTCAACTCTGGCTATGGTTTAGTTATACTGTGATTTAATAAAGTATGAGTCAAGGTGTAGTCCAATTCTTCCATTCTGCCATTTGTAGCTTGTTAAAACCCAGTCCACAGGACTGTTCCTCTTGCTACCACTGTTTACTAAAAGATTGTGATCATTTTACTTCCCTGTGGAAAAACTGAGTCACACATATTGATAAGGGTTAGTCCCCGAACTCTTTTTGTTCTTTTGTTTCTTCATTGTGTGATATTATTTCATCTAAAGATCATCTTCATAACCATTAATTTTCCCTGTACGCTTCTTAAATAGGTACACAGATAGCAGTGTGTGGGCTATGGATTTACAGTGTTCGTTTCATGTGCTTTGGCTTCAGCCAGTCATGGAAAGGACAGATGTATTAAAGTGATACTGCTCTGGGTGAATAGAGAAAGCCTCTGGCAAAGCTGTCCTAAATGAATGAAATGTAAATTTCTCCTTACCAATTTATTTTTTAACTATGGAATTGAGAAACATTTAGACTTAAGCTCCTGAATCTCTTCAGTTGATGGCCACGGTGTATGTCATAAGCAGGGTGGCTCTGGTAGTGGGAGCAGTCTTAACTGCAGTAGCATCAGCGTCTGTATATGGTAATTTATCATGCTCCACGATACATACATGTGTGCACTCTTGCATCCATATTTTTGGTGAATTGCTTTTGAAAATCCCACTTTTAAATGCTTCAGATCCTATGTTACAGGAAGTTCTGAAGCTGAGATGAATGTTGTGGGGTTTTTACTGATTATCCTAGTGATGCTTACAGGTCCTGCGTAAAACATGCGAGTTGGGAATGGATTCCATTAGCATGAATGCCTAGCTTTCTCTTCTGGTATCTCACTTTTGCTACAAGAAAGTTCAATTAATAGTTTGCATAAAAAAAAAAAGATTTATTCAGAGAAAGAATGCGTGCTTAACCCAACACTTCAGTAAATGTTCAGGAAGATCTGAAGAGGGCATAGCTTGTTGTATGACGGTATTGGGGGAAAACATGTTCTTTTGTTGTTATCTGTAGCACTTCATCAGCACTGTACCTATCAATATTCACAGGCTCTCTTAGAATTAAAAAAAATAAGATTAGACATGTTTTTCAAAAGAAGTAGCACTGTCTTGTACTGAATAAGTTGCATCAGCAGAATATAGAATTGGGATGTTAATGTTACAAATACTGAGTTTGTCAAAGTGGTGTTGCAATTGTTTTGTGAATGTATGTTTCTATTAGTAAATAAAAATTGAAGTCTTCTGACTACAGTATTGCTACTGTCATCCAGATACTGAGATTTGCTTAGGATTTTTAGAACTTTTTTTTTTTTTAAGAAAAGTTTTGATTAGCTTTTGACAGCTGAAATCCAAGTTTCCATATTTGTCCAACTTTTCTTTATAACTGTGCAGACCCTACTTGCATGATTTTAAATGGGAACTGCTATTCTCACAAAATTGCATTAAATGAGGAACAGTTCATGAAATGCATCAGATACCACAAAACCAAGACAAAATCACAAGAACTAGCGTTTGGCAACCTCTTCATTTTAAAAATAACCACAGATTTTTTTTCCCCTATTTATTGCCTTTGTCATTCTTAACTTCTGAAGACTAGTTTCATAGTGCCAATAAAGAAACAAGAGAAAGTAATTCATTATTCCTGCAGTACAGTCTTGAAGTTTTTGCAGATCATATGTTTGTCTTTCATGTAGCATTACCTGTCATGTATGCTGCAAGTTCTACAGTGTTCAGTAACTGCTCTTTTACAGTGTTTGCCCACACTCACCTGCTCACTCAATCCCTGTCCCCTCCTTCCCCCCTGAGGACGGAGAGAGAACTAAAGGGGTAAAGGGAAAAAAGGACTCGTGGGTTGAGATATATGTAGTACATACAAATATACGAATGAGTGATACACAGTGATGCTGCCCCCCTGCCCCAATGACCAGGGCTCAGCCTGTTCCCGACTAACGATCCCGGAGCAGGGAGAGTCCTGAAACTGCACTCACGGAATGGAGATAACAGTCCAAGTGTCCCAGACCAAGAGCTGACTGGGGGAGGGTGGGTGGCTTAGGGAGGGTGACCACCTGAAGCGAGATGACCCAGAGCAAAAGAGATCTGGAACAGAAAATGGACAGGCTTCCGCAGGGTCCTTATCTATATACTGAGCATGATGTATATGTTATGGAATAGATTATTGGCCACTTTGGGTCTCAGTCCCGAACCTAAGATCAAATCCTGGGCTAGTAACTGGGGCTGTGCTCCCTCCCAGCTTCTCCTGTTTGCAGACAGCCAGAGAAGCTGAAAGACCTTGGCAGCCACGTAAACATCACTTTTTGTCAGCTTTCTTCTGAGCACAAATCCAAAACACAGCCTCTTGCTAGCTATTATGAAGAAAGTTAACTGTCTCAGCTTAACCCAAGACACAGTGTAAGTTCTTCTGAAGTCCTCAAAGAAGAGGCAGTCTTGGAAGTAAGATGATGTTGACTGTCGTTTAAAATAAATCTGGGAGGGGAGTGCTGTTACTCAGTTACTGCTGAGCTATTTAGATTTTTTTTTTTTTTTAAATAACGTCTAATAAGTTGTTCCAGAATGTGGAAGACCTTGCATACAAAAAAGTTGTTTTCTATTGAAACAAACTGATGACTGAGATTAGCAGAACTATTGTGCCTTGAAACCGCAGTCCTGTGCAATATTTTGTTGACCCTGTCTGGTGATCAGCTTGCTCCAAGTGATTGATTGATCTTTTAATTAATAGTCGAGTTGGGGGTAATTGCAGATGCTGTTCTATAAAATGATTTATAATTCTCTATGTTTTTTAAGCAGTTTGCTGTTGTATTTTGTGAACAGAGTCCCAATGGATGATTTATGTATTATGTAACAGAACAGCATTTATTCTTGTTTATTTTAAATATGTTGTCCTTATATAGGGTTTTAAAATTGAATGGTAGATAAAATATACGAGATGTTCACAGATCTCTCTGAAGAGGTGTAATTTAATGAAAAACTGTGTGTATGGGGAATTGAGTTATGAAGCTGGCTCCATGTGACAGCTCATGACTAAACTGGCTTTTCATCTTGGTGTATCAGTGAGTAAAGCATTACAAAATTTTTTTGTTAAACAGAAAATGCTATATTGTAATTTAAAATACATGCTCTAGAAGGATATTATGTACTTGAAATAATAAGAAATGATCTTTTGTAATGATATTTCAGAAACAATTTAACTTCAAATACAGCTATACATTCACACACGAGTCCACATGTAGATTGTTAGACATTACAAAGATCTGATGAAAATTATTATGTCAGTACAAAATAAATTTAATTTCTTTTTTATGAATTTTAGAAATCATCTGTACAGACAATTGGTGAAGAACAAATACAGAATCCTTACACGGAGCTCCTTGTCTTGAAAGGTCATCAGGATATAGTACGATTTCTAGTGCAAATAGATGACTGCAGGTATGAAATTGCATTTCAAATTGTTTCACAGCATCCTTGGCCATACTTCAGAGACTCTTTATTAAAATGTACTAATATTTTTAATCTTCTCTTTTTATTTTGGTGGGTGAGAGCAGGAAAAGCCTGGAGTTAAAATGGCAAGGGTTAAACACTCCCTATTCTTGGGCTTCTCTTGTAAATTATACTTTCATGAGAAAATAATGGTGGTCGAGTTTTGTTTCTTGGTACAAATTCATTTGTTTGAAATAAATGCCTTTAGCTAATTCAGCCCTTTTTTTTCAGGCTGTTCCTGGGTTGAAACATTCCCTGCTGTACATGCATACACACAGTTTTTCCCAGGACAGTATGCAGTAGTGTCTGCTTCTGCTCTGATTGGATGTGTTTTATGTTTTTGAATTGAGAACAGCTCTTATTCTACCTTTTAGTTCTACAAAATAATGTCATACACTCCTACAGATACACTGTAGCAATTGAACATGATGTTTGCAACAATATTGAATATTGCTCTTCTGTTCTTTCTAATCTTTTGTTACATTTTCTTCTGAAACTAGTGCTTAATTCACTAGAGCTTCAGTTAATGCAACTTTTTTCTGAACTTCTCAAATTTTGAAATTTTCACCAGTTTATTTAGAATTACTAGTTCGTAAAATTCAGCATATCCCTAATTTCTTCATTACGTCTCCTCCAATCTGATTGTCAATTTACTGTACTACTTCTTTGAAATCTGACAGTTCTTTGTCTCTTCCAGTTTTTAGTTTTGTGCACTTTTTTATATATCCCCTGACAATCTTTCTGTTCTGTTCTTAGTTCTTTCTTGCTGGGTCAAACTTTATTGTGAACTCTGAAGACAGAGTTATCTGAAAACTAGAAAACTGGTTATGAAGTAGAGATGAAGTCTCATTTACCATTGTCAGTTTGGAAGTGTGACTGAGAGAATGAATTATGATAGTCTTATGTTGTGCCCTGGGTTTTATCCTAGCTTAGTCTAAATTGGCCTTACATGCTCTCTAATTTAATTTAATCATACAGGAGGGGAAATATTTACCTGCCTTAAGAGTAAGGTTGTGAAGCTTTTAGTCAATAAGTGTAGTGACTCTTGGTTGATGTGGAGAATTGAATAGCAAACCTTTAAAACTAAGATCATAAGTACCACGCAGGAGTCTCTCTGTTAAGGAGCTGTAGTAATTTTTATAATTTCATGAATTAGGCACAGAAGGGGATTTCTAATATATTCATCAATACAGTGCTCAAAGTTAACATGGCTAAGAGTCTGGTTTATATTCTTGCAGTGTACAGCGGGTGTTTTTTGAAGGAAGTTTCTCTCATTCCACATGCACATTGATTAGGCAGATGGTATCTTCCAAATTTGGAATGCCCACAAAATTTTATTTTCTAATAATTTTGTAAGTATATATATTTTTAAAATTTCACAGAAGAATCCATGGAGAATTTTTAGGTTGTCAGTTTTCATTCTTAATGTCATAAATATATATATATATCAGAAAAGTTACACACATTGCCATAAAATTAATTTTTCTATGTTATAGTAATCCACCAGATGATTTATATAAAAATAGAATAATCTTTTGGGATTTTTTTCAGTCCTGTTTTTTTCCCCAGACAAGTTATTAAAATAACATTTCCTTAAAGTTCATTTTTCCCAAAACACATGCTCAATAAACATAATTTGTCTTTATAGAAATAGTAGAGTATTTTTAGATTGCAGGCACTGTCTGATGCAAAGAAATCTTTCACCATTTTGGGCTTCATTGTGTGGTAGCAGGTAAATTATTGAAGCTAAACTAATGATAATCAGTGTAAAACTAACCTGGATGGTTGCACCGAGGATAGGTTATAAAATAACATATGGATAAGGAGTAAGCTATATAGCTGGTTAATATTCTGAGAGTTTGAGGAGTTTAATAGAGTCGCTTCCCTGGACAGTAATTCTAAGGTTTTATTTGTCAAGAATATGGTAGTTTCTGGATTGTTAAACAGCGGATAATATTTTTCACTTGATTCTTTTCAATAAAATTAGTATTGTTACTCAGCTTCTGAAATGTTTTTATTTAGTTTCTGCAGCTATTCCATTGTGTGCTTTTTGTTAACTATTGTAAGCCAAGTTTCACGCTTCAGGTCTTTAGATAATATCATCTTATTGAGAATTTTGCAGAAGGATTTTCTTGTTTTCTCAGTGGCTCAGCTAAAACCAGTGAGTGGAAAATTTTCTCAGATTGGTTTTTGAAGATACTAAATAAATCCTGTATAAATGTAACAGAAAGCTGTTTTTTTTTTTTTTCTCTTCTTTTCTCTCATATTTTTTGAACGTGAAGTGAGGGTCATATTGATTGGAAGATCACTAAAGAAGACTAAGCCTAAGCAAGAGTCTTCCAAAAAAACGGGCTGAGATAAAATGACATGTAGTACTCTAGCATTTGACACATTAAACTAAGAAGAGTTCATAACACATTTTAAGAATAGTGCTTTTTGTTGCTCATTTGACCATTCCTTGCTGATTCAGGAAATAGACAAGGTTGATGGTGATCATGACTGGAAAAGAATCAGATGACCTAATCTCCACCTTGGTGAACAGAATGTAGCTGTAGGATAAATGACTCCACAGTGTTCCTTTATATTTAAACAAATCCTGTTTAGTAGGTGGGAGGAAAATACATAAAACATCACTTTACTGAATTCTGTGTTGATGAATTACACTCATGCCTTCTTTTAAACATCAGTTTTCTTCACTGAATTTTGTTCAAGTTGCACACAACTCCAATATTACCCAAGAAAGGAACTGAAATTTAAAGGGTTATTGCTGAATTGAGTCTTGCTATTTCAGGTTCTTGACATTGTGACAAAACAAGGCATAACAGAGCTAAAAGGCAGCCAAAAATGAGAAAGTAATGTTTTAGAGCTGTGCATGGAAGATTGTTTTTTTACTCTATTCTTTTTAAAGAAGGGACAGATATGAAGGAAGTACAGTTTACACATTTTTTTTTTAAACTGTAATAGAATATAGCAGGAGGATTTGTGGAAGAAAGAGGGGAAAAACCCAATGGCTTTATGCCTGAAATCTTATTCTGTTGACAAGGGACTGCAAAGAGTCTAAAAGAAAGGACATGCGTATAGTTAATGAAACCATTCACAGCTGGTAAGAGAAAAAAAATTCAGAAGTTATGTAACCTCTCTTCATGGCTTTCTTGCACATAGTAGAAATCTTAGTTAGTTCTCTAAATATTAACTGTTTAGCCCTTGGTGAAGGCTTAAAAAAAAAGGAAAAAATTAGAAGGTATATTTGCAAGTAACAACTGATCAATTTGTCTGCAAAGGGTCTTGCTTCTGTTCTAGGCTTTCTCAACTCATAGTACATTTTTACTGGGCTCGTTGGAATGTGTGCTCTGATGGTGATAAGGTGCAAATGGAGGCAGATGGTTAGATATTCACTCTAGGTAGGAAAAAAGATTGAATTTAGGTCAGGCTTTGTTAATGTGAGTTTAACATGCTAATATGAACGTGTTTTTTCCTCATATGGTATGCCTTTCAGCTGGATTTTTAGCAGAAGTCAAATTTAGCACCTTAAATGAACTCCCTTTAGGAGTTATTTTAAGCCAGAGTTTAAAGTGTCATGATAAATACTGGGCTTCTCTGCTTCTCGGCTGAACTCAGGTGAGTGGTTTGTAACTTGTTAGATGGCTGTCAGTCAGTTGGCTCTGACTAATACTCTGACTAATAGTATTTGGTTTTAGAGTTCTCTGTTATTTGGTGAGTAAGATCTCATGCTTTTAAACAAGAGAACTGGTTCTATAATGTGGAATTCTATTTATAATAATAACGTATGGGAATTCTTAAGCCTTGTTCTTATATTAAGTATGCATTGATGAACACCTGTGTAAATGTAGTGACTTCAGTTTATAAACAGTAATTAGGATTTATGAACATGTGTTTATTCTTTAAAGCTGGAGTCTGATATAACTTGTAAATATTTTTCTTGCATAACTTTTTACTGCTTTTCTATTACATTATGCTGTAGTGATGTTTTCGCAGCCTTTTTTTTTTGCATTTCAGGTTTGCATCTGCAGGAGATGATGGAATCATATTTCTGTGGAATGCTGAGGTTAGCTCATTATTTTGGGGGTAGCTTGTGTGCTCTGGAAAGTGTAGAAATTGGGGAGAGGAGTTAGAACAGTCTAACAGTGAAAAAGCAGAATAAATAAGAATTGCTGCAGAGGCACTGTTTGAAAATGTAAAGTGGAGGGAGTCCATCAAATCTTAGTTTAGAAAGGAGAGCTAGAAAAGTAAAAGTTATGTAAACCCAAAAGAACAGTAAGTTTAAAAAGTTAAGACTGTTTTGGGAAGACTTACTGATTTTAGAGATTGAAGATGAAATGGTGATGTGAAAAACAGAAGTGTGTATGAACTTGAGGCTTGAATTCTTCTTTTAAAATGTGTTTGGTGTTTGCTGTAAACACTGAAATGTTGGCTAGTAACTCAACAAATATGTAGCAAGGTGCCAATCCTGCCAAGATTTTTATATATATATACACTTAAGTTGTAAGCACTTTTCTGTGGCTCTATTAGCAATATCTGTTTGTAGTATAACTGGTTAGACTAAATGGAGAGCTAACACAAAACTGGATTGGAAAGACACTAAAGTCAGCAGAAGCTAAACATTCTATGCAGTGCAGAAACAAGGCCCTAATTGCTTGCTGTGGTAAAAATGTTATAACTTTTGAAAACCTTACAAAGACATTAGACTTATCATGGAAAAAGTGTTCTGTATGTGTGATGCCCACTGTTCTGCTCTTCTGCTCTGTGTCTCTGAATCACTGACAAAGTTATAGAGAAGGAATGACCATTAGACCTGTGTTAAGGAGGGCTAGTATACAAGTTAAATTGTTCAACAGAAAGTCTAAAAGGGAGGCACACTGTACTGTCTAAACTGTGAGTATCAAGCATTCAAATTAAGGAAGAAAGACACCTCAGACTGTAAACTTTTTTGTAAACCTGAAAAATCTATGTGTGACATTTATGTGGCGTAATTTTAAGATACGGAAGGGGGAAGTTAAAAGTTTTCCTCTCTTTTGAGCAGTTTCAGTTAGTGCTTTGTTGTTGAAAGCCTTTCATAATTCTATAATTTGGAAAGGGAAGTTGTTTTGAATATTCAAAACCATGTGTGAGTATATATACCCAATATTCTGACCAGTTTGTGAATGTTTAGATATCCAGTTTAGGAGCCATTTTCGGCTTTTGTAGGATTTCTATTGTTATTTTTTTAAAATTATGTTTTGTAGGATTTTTATTATGTTTTTGTTAAAACAAATCTTTTGCAGTTTTAATTTAAAAACTTAACCCACAAGTGTAAAGGAAGTTATAACTACTCTATTTTAATTGCATGATAAAAATGTCAGTATGCTTTTGTATGTTTGTAGGGTTTTGCCATCTAACGAGACAGAGTAGAAGTAGCTGCATTTATCTAAACCACAAGCTTGAAGCTATAGATCATGTACATACTAAATACAGCTATAAGAAAATTGGCAGTACAGTTTTTGCCATAAATATAGGTCAAGTTTTTCTAATCATTAAAGTGAAAAAAAAATTTTTTTTCGAGAGAAGGTTTGTCAACAAATTTGAATTCCTGTAGTATCTGTTAAAAAGGGTGAATAGCCAATATTTGCTTTAAAATCAAATGAATTTAATACAGAACTTAGTTCTTAAGGGCTTTTAGAGTTGTTTTTTCTTTATTCTTGAAGTAATTTTTGCTATGAAGTACTCCTTTACATTAATATTTAATATATTATTTAATTCTGGGTAAGATCTTGAACAATATTGAAGACAGTAAGAAATACATCCATAAATTTGTTTAGAAAGGGAGATTTTAGACTCTTAGAAATTCTTGCTTTCAAAAGTCATTTGGTACCTATGTCACATGCTACAGTAGGCTTTTTCCAAATTTTACCCTTAATTTTCCACATTTTTATTTTTCAGACTGGAGAAAAACTTTTTGAACTTCATGGACACACACACAAAATTACAGCTATAACATCGTTTTCTTCTTCTGAAGAAAAAAAACATTTGATTTTAACAGCATCAGCTGATAGAACGGTCATTGTATCCTTAGATTGGGAGAGGATTCAGATTTCTATGGACTGTTTGCTGGTTTTTATTTTTAAAGGTAGCATTGAGACAGGCTGCAGGATGTTTAAATATATTGGCTGATAATATTGAATAAGTATAATTGTATTACACTAGAATTTTACTAGTTATTGCTCGCAAGTACATGCAGTCCTTCCTACAAAAATGAATCTGTAACAGACCTTTATTAATATGTCATTTTGGCCAAATATTGAAAAGACCATCAGGGTTTAAAAGAATGAGGTTCTGCATGCCTATTCCCAATCTGTCGTTTAGCTACAAATACAGCAGTTAGGTTTATAGTGTGTAAAAACCTTTCAGTTTCCTTAACAAATAAAGTCAGGTTTGGGACTGCACTAGTGGCAGACAGGTTCAGAAAGTGTCATGTTTTCATTCTACGGTAAAGGTAAGCTGAGGAAACTGTAGGTATGTCTGTTGTTTTATTATATACAATAATCTATTGTGTATGGCTCATGGGCTACATGGGCAGGTGTGTTAAAATGAGCAGCAGTGTTTGGTTTAGGAACAGGTAAATAATGAGTGGCTGAGAAGTGGGCACAATTATTAATTTGTTTTTGGAACTCTTAGTACCTCAGTTTTCTTTTTGAAAGGATGTAGAACAAAGGTCATTTTATGGCTTGGTTTTGTTACTCTGTTCGAAAAGGCAACCTACAGTCAAACTGTTTCTTGGATGTTAATTGTAGAGAAAAATCACAGAAAAATCAATTGTTGCATTGTTGATGGAAAAATGTGATGTAGTGTGTAATTAAATCTGTGTTTCTCAGGAAAGTGACACCTTAATACTGTATTACATAGTACTTACAGCTTTATCTAGCTAAAGCTTATAATAATTTCATTGAGAAATTCCCTGTAGAACTTTTGCAGGGGACATATATCTGATTTTTCTTCTGCAGTGTTTGACAGTTCTTCAAAGACTGGATGTATGGTTGTCTGGAGGGAGTGATCTATGTGTTTGGAACCAAAAATTAGATCTCTTGTGTAAGACCAGTCATCTTACTGATGCAGGTAAAAATGTAAATGAGTCATTATAGCTGTTAAAGTGCAAGTAAAATGGATCTGTATAATGATGCAAAACCAACTTGGCAAATTCTCTTTAATTCTAATGATAACATTATGTTTAAGAGCCACTCTCTATTTTTTTTTAATGTCAGACTTAATAGTTTCAGAATTAAGACTGCTTTTAATCTCGTGTGCTGTGTGAATTTTAGAATGTGTCAGATCTCAGTAGCCGTACTTTAGCTTGGACTTACAGGGCTAGACTTTGGATGCTGGTTTATACGTGTTTGTGTAATGTGGACTAGATCTTTGTCTGTCTGTCTCTGAACGAGCAGGAGTTTTATTATTCCAAGTAAAGCTTTGTAGTAGTAGAGCGGGAAAGATTTATTTTTAAGAATCAGTACCTTTGCTGTAGAAATTGCAGGTTTTGATAGAAATGCAGTAGATGTAATTAGATCTCAATATCAGTCATGCTTTTCTGTTAATAAGCTTATATATTATCTGTCCATGCAAAGAAAATTGTTGCATATTATTGCCATACGTTACAAAGATATCTGTGAAGCTGTGGATCAAATTCAATGTCGGAACCAATATTTTCCTTATTTTTGGCATAGAATGGAGTAGTGGTAGGCAAAACCTTCTGAATCTTTTAGGATATTAATACTTCTTTTGGTTCAATATGAATTATCATGCCAAAAAACAGTTGGAAGTGGTGCTGCAGTGCTTAGCGCGAGGTGCTATTAAAACTTTTCTATAAGAGATCAATGGGGTGTGCAACATGGGCCCTCCCTTCCCTCCTAATATCTTGTTTCCTTTGTGGGGAAAGAGACAGGTTGCTTATTCCTTGGGGAATATTCCCTTAATGGTGTGGCAGCACAGACTGGGGGAATTCTGTGCAGGATGAAGGCAGAGTAACAGCAAGATGGATATTTTATCTTGTGTATTCTTCTTCTTCAACTGTCTCTGTACAGTGTTTTAGTATCATGCATACTATGGTAGTATCAGTATCTAGTAACTTTGGTACTGCATACGTTTAGAGTCTCAGTAATTACCACAGTGTGTGCTTAATATTGTCCTGCATTAGGACGTACCCATCTTAACTGTATTTAAAATAAAAAGATTGTTGATTCTCAGCTTCACCTCAAGTTTCACATTCAGAATTCTGCTGGATTCAGGACTAAAGCTCCTGACTCTACCTCCATCTGAGAAATCTGTTCACTTCCAATGCTGTTTAACTTTCTCTTCAGGCAATATGCTTTTATTTTGATAATAATTTACAAGTGGAAGGAAGATTATGAAGAACTTTACTAGCAAGGAATTAACAGTTGTTTGTGTTTTCTTGTGACCAATGAATATCCTTTTCTCCCTAATCTGTATTTTTTCAAAGGTATCAGTGCTTTGATTGAATTGCCTAAAAATTGTGTTGCAGCAGCTGTTGGCAAAGAGCTAAGTGAGTATGTTGCATTTCTGATAAATGTTCATGTTCCTCTTTAACAGCTGCTTATCAGAGATATGTGTAAAGAGCACGCTGCTGGAATTATATAGGAAAAGTAAATGGTATTAGGGTGTGATTAGGAACCTTCTTACTTTTTCCCTTATTTGACAAAGAGGCAGACAGTACTAATCTCATTCAGGAATTTTATTGAGATCTGCATGACAAAACTTTTCTATATTCTTTGTTGTTGTTATTACTGTTATTGCCACGTGTCCAGGTCTGATTGTGGTAATCTAGATTTATCCTTGGGAGAAGGTCTGGAACTTGTTATTTCAGCTGTCAGATATTAGGTTTCTCTAGAGCCTCCTTATCCCAAGATCAGGAGTATGAGATACTTGCAATATCATTATACTGTTCAAAGCTATAGTGAGACAATGTGATGGTTTCTGTTGCTTACGTGGAGACAGGGTTTTCTATGTATGCAAACTGTAAATCATCAGCTAGGTGTTGGTGGAGAATCTTTTAACTGAGAGTGCTTTTTAAAATTACTGAAATTTCAAAGTATGGAGAAAAATCCAGGAGAAAAAGTAGAGCACTGAATCAGCAAAATACAGATTTTTGTAATATGATTAACCACTTAGCTGAAAAGTAGCGATCGGATGTATCAAATGAAAAATAAGTCTTCTTGTGTTTAGACATTGATATACCATCTAAACTTCCTTCTGAACTTCCTACAGTTCTTTTGTAGTGCCCTTGAGATATCATAAAAGAAATTCCATGACTGGTTAAAATAAAGTCTTAATTCCTGGCAATCTTGATTGCCTTGCTACAGAATATTGTGTCCTTTTAAATAATAGTTTTCAGTCAGATGAGCCCTTAAGAAAGATGTTTCGCTTTTAGTTTACTTATCCATAAAGATGTCTAATGTTTTTACTTCTGCTTTTTGCAATTTCTGATGTTGACCGATTCTCTGAATTTCAGAGTTACTAGGTGGAAATGTTTTATCCTGTAGTTGCTGTAGTAAGAGGCCTTAATAATAACACTGAAATAATCCATTCCCATTTTTTTGATGTTATGAGTGGTCATACATGGCTTGCACATCTTGTACTGTCTCACTTACAATATGTTTTAGTTCGTGTATTTCTGAAAATGATGTGTTTTATTTAAGCATAGCAACACTTTATCCTGAATGATAAAGCTTATTTAGACATTTCTCTCTATCTTTGAAGTAATTTTTAGGTTGATTGCTCCTAATGATGAGTCTGAAGCTTGGAATATCCTTGAAGTAAAACGCCTTGTTGACCATCAGGATAACATTTTGTCATTAGTCAATGTCAATGGTAAGAGTAATTTTATTACTTTACTAGTTTTGTTAGTTACCAGTGGGATATTTCAGCTATGGAGTTTTTATAGGGACTAAACTTTTAACTGGAGTGAAACTTCATAATTACTAGATGCACCTTCCTGTGTAGCTGCAAAGGTAGTGAAATGTGAAAATATGGCAGTGGCTTGCTTTATGGATTAACAGTGAAAGGAAACCAGGCAGGTTATTATGTAGAAAAGGCACAAAAGAGGCAATATCATTGATGGAAATGTAACTCTGGGTCTTTTTCCTGTTGGGAAAGTTTAAAATGCAATTTTTTAATTGTTCCTTGTGATTCTTAAAATGGAACATACAAGGCCACCTCCTTTGCAGTTGTAGTCCCAAGGTAGCTGAAAGTTCTGGTTGTATGGATGTGGGCTTGCATATAGATCCATTATTTAGAGGCTCTGGAAGATGATGCGATCTCTGCTGCTCATTAGGACAATACTGAGCTATTACCTGAAATTCTGTCTTCTCTACTGCAGGTACCAACTCCTTGTACTTTATTCTTCCCTGTCTTTTTTCAGGGACCACCCCCAGAGCCCAGGACAAGTTATTCCTGGTGTGATAGAGAGTATATATTTGTCCTTGGGCTTTTTTGTGTCAGCCTGGTTGGCACAAAGGGGCATGTTGTAGAGAGGTAACAAGAAGCTGGAAAGAAGAAAACTTGGTAATTGTTTCTGGGGTTTCCTGTTGCCATTATTTTCTCCTTTTTGATTATGAAAGGGAAGCAGTATTGGGCTTATAAAGATAGTATGCTACCTGCGTTAAATATTGTTGAATCAGTTCCTTTCGATGTGTGATTAACAAATTCATGAGCAGCTACTTCAATCTTGCCATTAACTCGTCCGTTTAATTTGTGATCAGTATTTCTGTGTATGGCAAAGACATACTTTGCTGTGCCTGAGTGGTGCTGATACACCTACTTGTTTAAGGAATAGGAGGGTTTTATATGTAGGCAACAATGGATTTCAAATACTTGTACGTACTTTTGGTGGTGTTCCTTGCCTTTGCTCTACTGTACTGTGCACTGTGGCCAGTGAATGTTCTCCATCCTAGTTTTAGTTTTACAAAAGAGAGATCATCTCCTTTTGCCCATGTAAGCTATGCTAGGTAATCAAATGAGTATTTACTCAAGGGGAGAGGATTTTGTCCAGTCAGTTACATACTTCGTATTCTACATAGCTGCACTAGAAAATTGTCTATCTTAACTTTCTTGGGTTGGATTTTTTTTTTAATATCATATGATATAAAAACTGGATTTTTAATGGATTAATTAAAAATGGATTTTTTTTAATATCATATGATTTCTATATATGGGTGGTTTTTTTTTCCCTTCTAGACTTGACTTTTGTGACGGGTTCTCACGTGGGTGAGTTAATAGTTTGGGATGCGCTTGACTGGACAAAGCAGGCATCTGAGTGCAACTTCTGGGACTCCTCTGTCCATTCAGATGCACAGCCGGAAATAAAATTATCCCAAAGCCCAAATGAAACTTCAGTTCAACACTTAACATCTGACGAGGAGGTAAAACGCTAACAGAGTAAACCTTTTCAAGTGAGCTAGTATGACCTTACCACAGAAGACCAAGTGTTTTGTGTTTTCAATTTCCTTGTTGTAATATGAGAGGCTTCTTTAAAATGTGCACAGGTATTTTTAAACAGTCAACAGTTTTTATATATATAAATTTTTTGTCATTGAGCTAACTGAAGGTTACAATATGTTGATGGTATGGGAACTAACATAAACAGACTGTCACAACAGCATTTCTTTTTGACTAATGATTTATTCGTTGTTTATGGCTAGAGAAAAATAAACAGGAAGTGTGTGTTTTGATGGCATGTATCTTTTCTGTTCCATGGTTCTAGAAATGCAGTTTCCACAATAATGCACTTCTTGACCATTTATAGCTAAAGGTGCTATACGAAGTGAATTAAAGAATAGGCGTACATCTGCACTTATTAGTAAATAAATACTGCTGCTGCTGTTTAGAAGGGCTATACTCAATTGTAAAGAGCACAATTATGGATCAAAAATACAGTCCACTGTAATCATGCTTTGGAGATAATCCAAGAGTTTTTGGTCAGAATACTCAGGCAGAATCCAGTTATTTTTCAGGAAACGCTAAAAATCCTCAGGTTGTTGTTTACTTTTATGAAACATTACCAACTGTTAGTGGCAAAAGAAAAGATGTTTAATAGTTGGGGTACAATGGGATTCTGTTTTAGGGCCTGTAGATCCATTGCTGGGGAATGATTAAGAAAGGAGTGTCTGGAAATGGTTTCAGAGATATGAACTGTAACAAAAAGCTATGGAAAAGCCTGAATGTAGCCTGAGGGCCAAGTAGTCACCTTATGCACTTCTCTGCCTGTGGAAAGAGCATTCCTAAAACACTGGAGACAGAAACATTCAGGGATGTGGGTGTGGGAGGGAAAAAAAGATCTATTTGTCTCTAAAGGTAGGATTTCCAGTGGTTTTGTTTTGGGTGCTTAGTTCTAGAAGGAGCAAAAGGCCACTCCTGTTAATCATAGAATCATAGAATGACCCGGGTTGGAAGGGACCTCGAGGATCATGTGGTTCCAACCCCCCTGCCTGGCAGGGCCACCAAACATACACATTTACTAGATCAGGTTGCCCAGGGCCCTGTCCAACCTGGCCTTGAACACCTCCAAGGACGGGGCATCCACAACCTCCCTGGGCAGCCTGTTCCAGGGCCTAACCACTCTCCTAGTAAAGAACTTCCCCCTAACATCCAACCTAAATTTTCCCTCCTTAAGGGAAGGAGGGTTAAGGAGAAGTTCTGTAACTTGGCTTCAAAACATTCTGACTTCTTGCTTGAAAGCTACACAAGATGTGTTTTAAGGAGCGGGGAAAGAGCTTTGGGAAGTTCAGAAGTGGTTAAAAGGTTGAATGTGGAATTGGAGGCTGCTGAGGACTTCTGTTTGTGGAACTGAAAAAATTGCTGCAGAATTTTATTTAGTGTGAGACTTCTGAATGGTGGGAAGAAAAGGTGGTTCTAGTGTTACATGCTGAAACAGAGATGCTTTTAGGGCAGACCTGTCTGTATTGTAAAGTTCCTTCTTAGAAAGCGGTGAAGAAATTTATTCCTGTAATTACTTTGTTACCTACTATTTAAAAGCAGAACACTGTGTTAAAAAAAATAAAACAAATTTGGTGTTTTAGGAACTTTGTCAGCAGGCTTGGTAGTTAGGTAGTTGGAGAAGATGCACTTTGTCTAGTTTGAGCTCACAGGCAAAACACCATTCAGAAACAAATGTCATGGTAAAGATTCGGCAGTACTAGGAAACAGTGCTAAAGAGTACATCTGCTGACCTGTTTAATTTGTCTGTTAAGATAGGTGTACAATGTATGCTTCATCAACTGTTATTTTCTTGGAGTTTGAGATGACCAGAGTTTTGTCCAGGCTTGTGTCAAACAAAAGAGTGATCTGTGAAGAGCATCGTTTTGCAAAGCTATAAGACTATTTGAAACTGAAGAGCCTGTCTCAAGGTGGAAGAGTATAAGAGAGAAAAGGCTGAGATATAGGAGTGGAAGAGTTATGTGGAAGGCCATTGAATTGAGCCTCACACAAAACTAGAAAAAAGAATAAAAATGGGCTTAGTATTTTTTCCTTGATTTGGTAGAGTGCTATCAGAAATCTGAGCTTAGTTTCAGAGCTATTGGAGCTCCCACCACAGATGTGTATAAGAAAAAAACAAAACCCAACAAAAACCCAGACAAAGATTTTTTTAATAGTGTCAAAACACTTTTCAATATATATAGGAAATCTTAGTCAAAGATGCTGGGTTACTAGTTTTACAAAACATTGAGAAGTGTGTACTGTGAACTGCTTACGAGACATTAATGTTTGGGCTGTGTAGATGGAAGCAGGCCATTCAGGGAAAAGATCTAGTGTACCATCACATAAACAAGGTATGTTCAAAAACTCAAATATGTACCTAATGGAAGTGCTTTGCACTGTCATATTTGGTACCAAATATTTATCATGTGTACCTAGACTTGATTATATGTTTGTCCTCCCTAAAATTTTTACAAGTCATGAGAGGGTCCAGGTCCAATGTTCTGTAAACTGTGGCTTCTTAGGGCAGTGATGGTTATGAAACTAAATCCCTGTACTTTTCTGAAGTATTGCATTGAGTGCAAAATGGTTCCAGATCTTTGCAGTATTGTGTAATACCTTTCTATGAGAAGGTTTATTTTTATGCTCAGTAGAGCCCAAATGCTTGAGCAGGACCTCTTTGTGGAGCTTCAGTTAAATTAAACAAAAATAGCAAAAATACAGAACAGCTTCCTGTATTCTCAGTCTGTCGTGACAAAACAAGAGTTTGCTGAAACACAGAGCATTATTTTAGTGTAAGAATCTAAATGCTTAATTGCAGAAATCTCTTGATTTGTTGGTATCCTTGGTTTCTGCTTAGACTGTAAGGTACAGGATGAAAATACAGAAATTAAACAACTGCTTAGAATGTAGGAGGATATCTCTCATTTTCTCTAAAAAATACGTGTTTTTTTTTTCTATAACTTGCTGATTCCGTATGTTTGGAATAAAGCAGTAAAATGAGGATAGAAGCAAGCTATACAGTGTGGGCTACATGACATCATAGTACTGCTGGAAATCCATTACATGCAGGGTGATCTTTCAGTACCTGTTTCTGTAAGTTGTTCTATTGAATTTTCTTTCCAGTGTGTGTTTGCTGCTGTTGGGAAAGGCATATACGTATATAATCTTCAAATGAAGCGTGTGATTGCCTGCCAGAGAACTGCTCATGACTCCTCTGTACTGCACATTGAGAAGCTTCCAAACAGGTACAAGTCATGGTGCATTTTGTTAATGCAGTAAAGAAATACAGAACTTGGAAGGGTGGCTAGAGACAGTGTGCAGATACATCTGATTTCTAGGGCAGGGACTTGATTTTTAGTTTGATCTGCTCTTATTAGATAGAGCTTGTTGATCAGATTTTTAAAAATTAATTGTAATTCAATGTAAAAATAACTGTAATCCAGTATGCTTGATGCACAGGCTCAGAGTAAAATATCTGGGCTATTTTCAGAATCAGATTTGATGTCCTGGTTTTGGCTGGGATAGAGTTAATGTTCTTAGTAGCTAGAATAGTGCTGTGTTTTGGATTTAGTGTGGGATTTGGTATGAGAAGAATGTTGATAACATACTGATTTTTTTAGTTGTTGCTAAGACAATCAAGGACTTTTCAACTTCCCATGCTTTGCTAGTGCGCAGGTGCACAAGAAGCTGGAAGTGAGCACAGCCAGAGCAATGAACCCACAGTTACTGACTTAGTATTTGAGTTTAGGTTTAAGATTGGGGCACAAATTGGCCAATGGTATATTCTAGATCATACAACATCATGCCCAGTATAAAGATGAGGGTTGCCAGGAGGTTCGTTCTCTTGCTCTCTGTGTCTGTGTTTCTCTTCTGGGATTGTCATTTTGGGACTTTCTCTGCTTCAGGTTTGTTAGCTGGTAATGGGCTGGGCCTTGGTCAATGGGTGATGAGCAGTTGCACTCTGTATCACTCATTTGTCCATTATTATCATCATGATTATCATCATGATTATCATCATGATTATCATCATTATTGTATTTCAGTTATTAAATTGTTCTTATCTCAACCCATGAGTGTCCTTTCCCTTTACCCCTTCAAGTCTCTCCCTCATTCCTTGGGGATGGGGGAGGGTGACAGAGCTACTGCATGGTCATTTGGTCACTGGCTGGGTTAAAACCATGACTCTTGATAAAGCACTTTTGTCTACATTGTGAAAATACAGCTTAATAGCATTTTACTTATATAAAGCAAAAGCCTGTGCCATATTCAGTACATATTTTTCACTAAGTATTTCATAACAGCTGAAATGTTGAAACAAAAAACTGTATCTTCAGCCTTTGTTAATTAGTGCTGAATTTCTAGCTGGAACTTATTTTGACAGCCAAGTTGGACAACTTGCTACATATATAAAATTAACAGTTGTGTTGTTAGATCCCTTTATACTCTTGTTCAACGGAGAAAAAGTCTGTCAGAAGATAAAAATTACGGCCTTGATCTTGTAAATGCATGTGCTGTTCTAAACTGTCTTAAACGTGTAACAAAAAAGGCATATCTTTTGTTATTTTTCTGTAAGAAAAAATATGGTTTTGCTTAATGAAAGTAAGCTTGCAGAAACCAGTTTGTGCAAGTGTGTTTGCAGAATCTACACTTGTTATTTTTATGTTTTACAGAGCAGCTTTTAAAATGGAGTTCCAAATGTGTATTTTTTCCACATATTTTGCAAGTCCATTATAGTTTGTCCTGCTACAGGTGCACCTTGTTTTGTATGGAACATCTAGATGTCCTGCTACACTTGAGTTCTAGAAACTTGTGTAGAACTTGCGGCACTTGCTGTCTCTTATAGAAACATGACAAGGTGACTTGCACAGATAAGAATCCATGCTAGTGTTGCTTATCAACTGTTTTTACAGGCAGCTGATCTCCTGTTCAGAAGATGGCAGCGTGCGCATCTGGGAGCTCAAAGAAAAGCAGCATCTGCCAGCTGAACCGGTTCCAACAGGTTTGCTAGCAGTGGGGAGTTAAAAGAGCATTTAAGAAAGGATAACGGGAAACCCGTTATTCACCACATGGGAATAGAGAAGCTTACAGGCTTTGTAAGAAGGGATAATGTCTTGGGTTCAACCTACTGATAACAGGTGTGGGAGGGAAACTGAAGAAGACATGGATGTACAAGCCCTCCAAGATCTGATATGGGAAGTTAGAAGGTCCAACTGAAGTAGTTCTGTGCTATAAAACTTATTTAGAATTTACAGTTGTATCAGCTGGTGTAACGAAATTATTACCTCTCCTGACGAACCATGATCCACTTCTTGTAATGATAGTGCTGGATCCTCTACTATGCAGGAGTAAATAGTTGCAGGACTTTGTGAAGAAGGCTAAAAAGAAGCTTGCAGATGAGCAGCTGGCACAAAAAAAAAGTGTTTTCCACATCTCCTCCTTGAACTTGGAATGACATTGGGACTACTTTGAGGCTGTACCCAGTCTCACACTCACTTACCTCTAGGCATTGCAGTCATCAGGGCTAGTTGCTTGTTGTCTTAGGAAGCCTTTTCCCCAAGTGCAGATGTTGCCTTTGTAGTGCTTGCTGTTCCTTGACCAGGCCAGCAGCTTCCCTGAGCACTGGTAGTTGCAGTCTTGGACAGATGCTCTGGACAATATAATTAGTATGGACTGGGAACAGTAATGAGATGTTACTCGCTCTTGTAGGATTTTTTTCTATTTGGGCTGTGAATAATTTTCCCAATGTACCTGGTCTACCTGGCTGTTCACTTGAGGGTAATTTTTGCAAATATCTTTTTGCTGCCTGTTTTGATTTAGAAACACTTTTTTAGGAATATTCTGTCTTCAGTATTGCTGGTGATAGCTGATCTACATAGTTCTGCTTCTTACTGTGACAAGTGGTGTTTGGTTTCATATTGGCAATTTGTAACTTCTGTGGTTGGAAACATTTGAAAGAAACCTTATGCAATAGCAAGATAGGTAGACTGCTGCTGACTTGCTCTGTTTTTTATTCTAAGAAATCTCCTGAGTAGTTGTTAGTCTCTCCAGTTATCTCCTTTGCACCAGGGCCGTGGTCTAGCACACTTGTTTTCTGTGCTAGTGGGTCGGACGGAAGGGTCAGGAATAAAGTCTGAACTGCATTGTGCACAGAACTCAACTTTCTTACTTCTGTCAGTGTTACTACGCAGTTCTTCTGGAGGCTGTAGCACAGATGTGTATTTTCTTGCTATCTAAATGGAATGTGTGGAGTACTATCTTTGCACTTCAGTTTGGCTTATAGTTTTAAATCTGACGGAGAAAGCCAGTGGGCAGTATAAAACCAGGGAATTCAGCATCAGAAGTTTGCTTGTTTCTTGTATGCCAGCACTCTTAATGTGTTACTGCAAGGACACAGGAGAGAGATTAGCACCTCATTTCTCTCCTCTTCACACAAGTAACAGTGTAGGACTACACAGCACTGTCCTGTATCTTCCTTTGCTGCTCAGTTAGTTCATTTAAGTAAGTAGTTCTTGGATTTCTTGCTAAATATGTGTATTGTTGCATCCAGGTAAGTAATTCAACATGTTTGCTAAATTAATGCCTAGTAAGGACAAATGACAAAGTAGCTGTGTTTCCTTACCCCCTCAAGATGAATCATCCAGATGTAGAAATGCTGTGCAGTACAATGCTTCTCTCATTTTGCCATGCAGACCATCCTGCTTTTAGATTTTAAGTGACTCCTGTAGTTCTCTCTTTAGTTAGAGGAAATAAATTCTATTTGTGATTTTTGCCAAAATAATTTTTTTTCCCTCCAGGTTTTTTCAACATGTGGGGATTTGGAAGGGCAAACAAGCAGGCAAACCAAGCTTCTAAGAAGATGCAGGAGACTACACCTGTGTATTTCTTGGAGCTGGTTGGTGATTTGATTGGTCATTCATCAGCTGTGCAGGTAGGTCAGCTTTAGTGAGAACAAGAAAAAGTGAATTTCACTTAGTAATGTACTTTTGGCAGTGTTTCTTAAACAGCTATAACTTTTGACTCTGGCTCCGGAGACTGGAGCTAAATACACACATTGATCATGTGGTATATTTAGTGCAGTGTGAAAACAATAATACATACTGATTTAAAGTTCTAATGAGAACTCAAACACTTGCTGATGCCCGAGAATTGTGTTTGTAGATATGTACATACATGCTACAGATAATCTGGTGGGATATTGGGTTTCTTTATAGACTGCAAACAATACAGCTGGGAACTGCATGTTCCAGATTTAATCTTAAATTTGCAATCTAAACAAGGGTTCATATAAACCAAAACCCCTTCAGGAATTTCTTAGCCCACTCTGCTGTGAGCCTTAAAGGAGGTCTTTTAATTTTAGATAAGGTACTGTTCTGTGCTTCTGTCTGCCTAAATAGAGTATGTTTTTGTTTTTCATGCAGCATTCTGTATATGGAAAATTCTGTTTTTAAGCTCTGAGCAGGCTGGAGCAATTGAGGCTGGAAAGGTTGAGTGGTCATGAAATCTCATAGTCAAAGATGTGGGCTTGGCCAGAGTATTTCTACTGGAACCACATAGCTAGTAAGTGTCTGTTCCCAGAGCAGATAGGGTGTGTCCTTATCCTGAGTGCTTCCTGTGGGCAGTGCCCTTCAACAAGCTGGAGCCAGGACAGCAAGCATCCTACAGTGGTATCATGTGACCTTGTTCTGTTGGTTGTTGGGTTGAACTGCAATTAGTGGCTAATTGTAGGCAACCTTGTGGAGGTCTCTTAAGTCAAGGATGACTGCATGACTTCTCAGCTCCATTGCTCTTGCAAAACTCCTCTAGAACTTGTATCATTTTCTCCTGTGTCACAGTTCTTGCTGGTTTGGTTTCCTGTGTGTGACTAAGCACATGCTGACATCTGTCACAGTTGCTTACTCTTTGATCCTCCCAGGCCTGGTGATGGTAGCCTGTGGTGTTGTGTGGGAAGGACACAGTGTACCTAAGTGAACTGAACAGTGGCTTCTGTTCCTAAGAAACCAGGAGATAAGAGTTCATGCAAGTCACTCACTGTTCTGCTGCTGACTTGGTCAAGTTTCTTCAATATTCTGTACCTTAGCTTCCCGATCTGTAAGGCTTTACTAGTTTTTCTAAACTGAGATCTTTCACTGTGAATTCCTGTTTAAGAGCTGTTTTCATGTAGGGATTTTATGGTATCTCAAACATACAAAAAGTATACATTGTAATTTTTTATATCTATGTTCAAGCAGAACCATTTCAGACGTATTCGTTTAGTCCAGCTGTGCACTGAACATTGAAGCAAGCTGAAAATCTTGTGTGAACATTATGGTAATAGCAATGGTTTCATTGCAGATGTTCCTGTACTTCGGTGAACTGGGACTGGCTACGTGCTCCGCTGACCACCTTGTTATTTTGTGGAAGGATGGTGAACGAGAATCTAGACTCCGCAGTTTAACAGTATTTCAAAAGTTGGCACAAAATGGTAATTTGCAGCTCAAAGTTTAAATTGCTCAAATATAGGCTACATATGTATAAACTGGATGTGTATTAAATATGAGTTTAAAGGAAAGTCTGAGCTGCTGGGAATGTGGCTACCAGTAAGGTTTACACTTAAATGTAATTATTATATTGCAATTTTTTTTAGTTGCTACTATTCTCAAAGGAGAAATTTGCATGTTTGAAACTTACTTGGCTTACTCTGTCCGCAGAAATTATGTTCTCTTGAAAGACTGAAGATAATGATGACTCATTAAATAGTTTATAATATTATTCCTAATGTTTAAAAATATCAGGGGTGGATGTCAAAATTAAGATTTGTGAAAATCGTTATATGGATCATAACTAAAGCATCTGAGAGGATTTCACAGTCTTAGGTGCAGCAAGGAGGCACAGGAAAAAGTCTGAGACTTCCTGCTTCATGTAACTTATTTCTCGAAGCTAAACTTTAGTCACTCATGGTTCAGATTTATGTCTTTACGAAAAAAAAAAAAACCCAAACCAAAAAAACCCCCCAAAAGACGAAACCCAAAAGAAACAGTTCTCAAATAGAATTTTTGAATTTGAAGTTACTATTCTGCACCAAGGGTAAGAGCAAGAAAGAAAAGTAGGCAATACCAGTTTGTCAGGTTTTAATTTTTTGTCAAAGCAAGGTATACAGGTACTCCCTGCTTGCAGCAGATGCAGTTTTACTGTGGGTCAGCCTACACTGCTGGAGTTTGTACAGCACCATTACGATGTCTAGCATGAAGTATAGTTGGTTTAGCTTAGTCTTTCTATAAAGCATTCATCAAATTAATGTGTATCTAATAAAAAGCACTGGCTTTACCATGGATTTTCAGGATGTAAAATACTTTTTAAACAGTAGCAGTTGATGTGTTTAATACTAGCAAAACACTTCTGACAGATGAATATTCTCAGCGGAAGTTTGACTGCAGAGAAATCTGCACCAAGTTTGTAAGGAAAGATAGTATTTTAGAGTTTAAAAATAAAAAGCCTCTAAGCACACTATCCGTTTTTCAAGTCTGAGATAGCAGCAGTAACCTGCAAGCTAAACAAGAGTAGGAAAAAACCTCCAAACTAAAACAAAAATCCCAAACCAACAAAAAACCCAAGAGAGGAAAAAAAAACACAAACCAAACAGCAAAAAAACCAACCAAAAACAACAGCAAAGTTAAATCCAGAGTTGATACTAGAAAGTGGGAGGGAGAAGGATATAACGAGTGGTAAGTTACCATTTGAACAGAGAAGAGCTAGGCAAGGGAGGAGTTTGGGAAGTTAGTGATTATAAAGCCATGTAGAAGAGGGTGCCACTGTCCCCAGGTCTACTCAGAAGATACAGCACTTGAACAGTTTAGGAGTAAGTCTCACACAACTTTTCAGTGCCATCTCTTCCCTTTGAATCAATGAGAACTTTTCAGTACAGGAGACTACAGGGCTGTAATTCCAGACTTAAGATTCACTGGCTGCAGTAAGTGCAATTTAAAAAAAGGGCTAAGCAGATCCTTACAAGAGCAGAAGAAAAAGCAGGAAGCTCCAGCTTCCTAGAAGAAACCAAGGAGCCTTTTTGACTTGCTTCTCCCAGCATCTGTGCACACTTGTCTTCCCCCCTACCACCCAGAAGCCAAGCTTTGCCTCTTGAGCCTGACCATAATCTTTCCTGGAAGGCAGAGCAGAGGGACAGTGAAATTTTGGTCTGTTTTTTTTTTCCCCACTTTAGTCAACTTGTACAACTGATCTTATTTGAGTGTACAGCTCAAAATGATGTATTTCAAAGATTCAAAACAGATGGAGGAATTGTTAAATTACTCTTCCTTTCAATTCAGGAAGGTTAAGTCAGTGTTAAATCTTGAGTTGTGTGCTCTTTACTGAGGGTGGCTATATTATAGACCAGCATAGGAAAGGTGTTTGGATTACAGCTGATGATAACATGCCTTTGGGTATATGGTATTGAACTTGGGGGAGGAAGGCATGGAAGGCATGTTAAGCCTTTCTGCCTGTCAGTCTGCATTGTTTCGGCTTGCCTACATCAGCAAGCGTTGCACTTTTGGCTATCTCAGTACAAAGAGGGGAGATCAGTTTCCCTGGCTCTTTTTTCCTGGTTCAGTTGAGAAATAACAGTTTAGTTATATATAAAGTGTTCATTTACACACTGTTACTAAAACTTTACAGTGAAAGCTCATAAAATTTAGCAGTAGCCTCTCCAGAAAAACTATATAATCAGCTGTTGAATGAAAGAACATAATCTTTTTATTAATCTCTTCGTCCTGTACCATGAGAACAACTGTTTCATTCTTGTGTGACTGCTTTTAAGTGACTACCAGGTGGTGAAACAGACCTATTTAACTAGAACTGTTCTAGTCACAAAACTCACTGTGTATTTTACAGGGATTTGATTCAGCCTTAAATAGTCCTGCATGCATGTATAAATATTTTTATGTATCAAGAGTGCCGTTGTTCTTGGATACACTCCATTGGTAATAGATCTCCCAAGGGTCTCTTCCTGTAAAGATGGTTCAGTTGAAAGTATTAAATTGAGTTTTTGTGTTACAAATGAACTTTGAACATAACAGTAAACACAGTACTAGCTGACTCTTGTCATAAGAGTTTGTCACTTGTGTTGAGAAGTGCAGTGAGCAGAATTGGGGTGACTAGATTACAAACTTTACTTCTACCTTGTGTCTTTTCAAATTTCTTTTTTCCCCTCGCAGTTAACACAGAATTCCATAGGTTCACATCACAATCAGACCTACCCTTAATATTTTTACAACTCTTTAGGTGTCTGTTTTACGTATCTGTGCACTGACAATAGCATGAAACAAGCAGCTGTTAGTCAACTGGACAGGTTAGAGTCTAGGAGATCTGATACACATGGCACATGACAATTGATCTATGCTGATATCTCTCCACTCAGATTACTTTTCTGCTTAGTCTCTGACTGTGGGAAGAAACACAGGATCTTGCAACAAATATACTGAATCCACATTAATGCCTCAACTTGTGAACCAGAACTGAGGCTGAACTTTATTTCTTAGGTTCCTTCCATCATTCACATTTTCTTCCTTTTGTGACAAAAATAATGAATTGAAATGTTTTACATGGATGTGGTCTTACAGTGTTACTGTATTTAACAAATTAAGATTACAAAGCTTTGAATCTTGTGAAATACTTTTCTCTAATGCAAGCAGCAGTGAGCGTTCAGTCATCAGAATAAAGGTACGACCACCAAGAGCACTAGTTCTAAATAAAGGAATGTTAAAAGCAAACAATTTACAGTATAAAAACCAGAGGTTCAACTTATCAGAATAGAATTCCATTGAAAAATGTTGCAGTATATAATAAGAATGAATGGATAAACATACTTTACCACAAACACCATTCTTCAAGTATACATAATGCAGCATTTTAATACACAGCAGCCTGCCTTAGCTATGACAAAAGCAAGGTTCTGTTACAATTTTAACAAAAATATAGCTTATATACATTTCTCTGCACATACATTTTATGAATGTTTCCTTTTGTTTTCAGAACTTTGTACAAAACATACAAAAAAGGTTGGCACATTATGTAAGCTACCTGCAGTAAACAATTGTTGTCACTTTTCTTTCACAGCAGTCTAAACTGTGTTTGTTTGGTTGGTTTTTAAACTTTTTTTTTTTCCTTTACCAGGTTCAGTTCTTGATACAGCACAGGGGAGGTAAAAAGGATGTCTCAGGACTTTTCCTTTTAATGAGTACTGTACTGCTGCTTCAACTGAAGCCACAGCTTTGATGCTCTTGCCTGCAGCCTGGAGTGCACAGTGTTAAAAATGAGCAGTTCTGCCAGTATTTATTAACTGAATAGTCTGAGAATAGTCTAAAATTTGAACTCATGTTCTGCATGTGATTAAAATGAAATGTACAAAAATATGCATTTGTGCTTTGGAAGCTTTAGCATAAATTTACTTATTTACATCATTTGAAATATTTACATCACAAAACAAACCAGCATTTTATTCAGAGGGGGAAAAGCAGTACAAATTATAATGCTGTTATAAATTATAACCTGGAAATTTTTTTTAAAAAGTGACAGGTTCATCCTAGAAGTAGCACAATATATGGACTTATAATAAAATTTAGATCAGTTTTATGAAATTGATAACTATGTGTACAAACACCACTTTATAAAAAGGGATGTTGATCAAGTGCCACAATGTTTTTTGTGTAAAATTTGATGGAACATTTTATGGTAATATCTCTAAGATGGTGGAGAAACATGTGGATGGCACCAATTACACAGAACACTCTTATTTTCCTGTATTATGTGACCGATTTTAAGGGAATTTGACTCCTACCATGATCTTATATGGGAAAAAAAAGAAGAGAGAACAGGTGGTGCTCTGAGAGATAGTCTTTGTAGTAATAATAAGGTGGTTTTAAATGGTGCAGGTTTTGTTTTTCACTGTATGCAGTTTATCGAGGTTTACTTGTTCTGTTGTGCATGTTTTTAGAACTATGGTTCAGAGAGCTGAAGAACAGATAGAATTGGAGCAAATTTATGCTAGATAAGTGAGAAGTTTTTATGCTTATTTGTCAACCTATTCTTACTCTACTGGTGACTGGATTACCCCTGTCTGAGAAACAGTTTTCTGAAGTATTAGTGAATACAGTTGTATGAATTACAAGATTTGACAAATGCCTATTCAGTATTAGAAATCAGTTTTAAAGTACATTTTCTGCCACAAAGCGCTATTTCCAAAGAGCACTTATTAATCTGTGGATGATGTAGCCTTTTTGAAAACATTTTTCTGTAGGAGTCAGAGAAGCTTAAAAGTGATGAGTATTTCCTTCTTAATTTCACTGGAAAGGAAATTACTTCCCTCTTGTAGCCAAGTCAGTAAGTGATTCACAGTGAAACTGGTAGATCAAGGGGTCTGTTTTTCTTGCCTTAGTGTCAGTTATTGTTTTCTGATGGGAGCCTGAGACTCTTGCACTTTAACTCATCCAGTGCTTTCCAGTGTTTGTAGTTATTAGCCAAGTGTTGCATCAAAACAGGCAGATGTGCAAATGCTGAAATGAACAGGAGAAACAGTTGTACTGTCCATATGGAACAGGCAGAAAAACATACCAACCTCGTGTGAAACTGGCATTTTCCTACCCTCACTTGTTCCTTCAGCTGTAAGCTAATGCTAAAAGGGGAAAGATTTTTTTCAGTCTGTTTCTCTTTCAAGCAAATCCCTTTCTTAATGTGTGACAACTTCATTAAATTATGCTTACACTCAACCACTGTGGTCTCGGTTTCTGCTGCTCAGAAGAAATACATTGCTAAAGGAAAAAAAATACCTAGATGGAAAAAAGCTTTGTTTTAAGCCATTACTCCTTCCTTCTTTACATGGATTGTCTGGTAAGCACTCAACTTTCATAAAGCTGGTGTTGTGTGCAGTGAAACTGGCTTCAGCAGCATCATTGCTTAAATCCTATGCTGCATTGCTTATACAGAGGTACTGCCCCTGAAAAAAATGGACTCAAGGCCAGTTTGAGATTAGTCAGATGAGTTTGTAAAAATCTCTGCTTCAGAGCAAGGAAGAAAAAAGCAGAAGTACTTACCATCCCATGCATCAAACATATCTGTTATAAAATAATCAATGAAGGAAATTTGAGACTTGGGGATGCTGCAGGTGTTTCTGTCAAATACTGGCATTACAACAGGCAGACCCTGTCTCTTTTCTTCATCAGTCTAAGAAAACAAAACTCTAGTTAGCCCCTAGAGCTTTGTGGGCTTTTATGCTAGAGGAGCAAAGGCCAGGGGATTAGATGAATTGCATTAGATTTGAGACAAACCTTAGAACCCCAAGGTGAACTGCCTTAGTTTCATGTTCTTTATTTAGTCTGACACAGGGTCTGAAATCAACATCTTGTCCCTTTCACAAGTACAGTGTTACTGTTGTGCGATTATTGTTGTTATCTGTAATGAGACAGAATGCTCTAATCTGCTGATAAGGGCAGACCAGCTAAAGATTGGAAATGGGATTACAGAGTCCTTTAAAAGCAGAGGACAGGAGCGATTGCTCCTTTTTTCCACATCTCTCTCTAGTGGCTGTTTCAAAACAGTTGTCTTTTAAATAAGAGGGATGTTGCTGTTGCTACTTTCTCCGCTTGAATCAGGTTATAAGATTAACAGAAGTGTATGCCCTTTAACTCTGTGTCTGCAATGGGAAGGGGGCTGGTTTTGTTGTGCTTAGTATGGTGGAGGAGCCAGTCTTAGAAATTGATTACAAAAAAAAACATCTTAAGTAGTGTGGTCAGCACCTAATGCTGGAATAGGCAGCAGAACAGTCCCCAAAGTTGCCAGATGAATCAGTGAATGAAGAGCAGAACCGTTCTTGACCCCTCACATTTAGGCACTAGTCTCCTCGCAGCAGATTGGCAATTTAAAGCCAGCCCATGATACTTTGACTGGTAGGGAGATACAGCCTAAGTGACCTTTGATCTTACTTAGGAAATGATCAAATTTATTCACTATGATTCAAACGAAATTCAGACATGTCCCCAGGCACAAACTACTATTGTCTTTCGATCATAACTATCACGTGGATAATCTGAATTTGGATGGTAGGAGGCATGCTCACTTTTCTGTCTCTCCAGTCATAGCTGCTGATTTCTGCATCATTAGTGGTGAATAAAACCTAAGAATCTATCAGTTGTTCAAATAAAGGACCAGAAGAGATTTTCACTTTCAGGAAGCTGGTGCATTTGTACTAGAAAAACTGAATAGTAAGAAAGGAAATTGAGCTTCCACTTCTGGCTGGAGCAATCCCATGTGATAAGTATTAACACTGCCTGCATGTCTGCAGTACTGGCCTGCCACATTATCTGCCTACCATGACAATAGTTCAGGTGCCATCTTAGAAGAGAAAGGGCCAACCTGATGTTTCAGTTGAGGGCTTCATCAGGTGTGGATCTTCATGCTCTCTTCAGAGCAGGTATTGGAACTAGAAGCTAGAATGGTGACAGTCTCGAATTTCAGCCAATTAAATTGACTGAGACTAATCAAATAATTTTGTTTTGGCCAGACAGAGAAAATGGAAAGTGTAAAACCTCCTTTCCACCATTCTGTACCGCAAGCTTCACAGTAAGCAAGCTAGTTAACTTTGGAGTGAATTCTGCATGAAATTGAATGGCCAGCTCTGCCTGGGGACAAAATTATAAAAGTAAATCAAATTATAAAAATATACATACCTGTGCAAAATACTCTTCTGAAATCCTCCCTGCCCATTCAATACACAGCTCTAGGGGCCGACATGGATTTGCTACATCTGCACATTTAATCATCATGCGCTTTATCAGTGTCTGGTTATCCGGAAAATTCTTTATATTGGCTGTACATCCGCAGTCGCTGCCTTCGCTCTGTAAAGGAGAGCTGGTTACAGAAGCCAGTGGCCAGCATGCCTGCTAGCAGGAGCGAGGGCGCTGTTATTCGCTTTATTGCACTTGGGCAGTAAGTGGGCACCCAGCCTGATGCTTTCTTTCAAACTTCATGCAAAGCACCAGGAATTTGGAGGAGAAAGTGATGCCTGAGAACTGAAACCTTGCTAAGTAACTAATGATAGTCCCATTACATATGACGGCTGTGGAGATTCTCTGAATTAATAACAAAGTCTGTGAAATAAAGGAGTCACAGGCTCACTATCAGGTAGGGTGAGTTTTACTTCTCTGCATCCCTTCTTTGCCCTTGTGGAACAGGACCAGGATAGGTGATGCATCCACCAGCTGCAAGCTGATAAACCATCCTTACTGCTGAGTGTTTAAATTTGGGGGTGGTGATGGTAGGCGGCCGCTTCATTTAGGGGAGTTTCTAGAGTTTGGTTTTTATTTCTAGATGAGAAAACTGAGGCAGGCATGGGGGGTGTACAACTGACTTTCTTTTATAGGCAGAAAAGCAGGTCTGTGCCATTCAGTTACAGTAAGTTTGCAAATAAAACTGCCGTCTTTGTGTCAGATTTTGAACCCTTGGCCTGGAATACTTGTTGATCTTGGTTACCAGCTAGAATGAAGTCTCAGATAATCTATGACATTAACAGCAGGAAAATGCAGGAGTGGCATACTGATTGCAGAAAGTCTGCTTGGTAGGCAGTAAAATACTGAAGCGCTTATTGACTGCTCTGGAGAGCAGGTGGAGGGGACAGAGTAGTTGTTACAAGTCTGCTATGGCATCATCTTCTGGTTCTTGAACAGTTTGGAAGGGCACAGGTATATTATGTTCCATATTGAGTAATAAAAAGCCTCCACCTCAGCTCACCATGGCATTAAACACTATTCTCACAATAATATATTTGTGTAATTATGGCCTCCCCTCACTGCTAAATTCAACTCTTGAGTGAAAAACTGAACATAAATACTTTTTACTACCATGGCTAAATTAATGTCTTTGTGCTTTATGGGGAGATATCTTGCCAATTCAGGCGTTCATCTTCTAACTTTATGTTTAGCAGTTAATTTATTTTCAGCATGGGTAGCCCAGAAAAGAGCTGCCAAATTAACCCTGCTCCTTAACTGCTGTTCAAGATCAAAAATAGGAAGAGCCACCGTTAACAATAAGGAACAGAACAGTCTAATACTGGGGAAAAAAACAAATCTGCAATACAAGTAGTTCTGTCCTCCACTTCTACTGCTCTCCAGCTCATACATTTTAAAGTAGCCTCTGCTATAAACTGGTAAGATTAAAAAGAGGAGTGAGTCAAAGAAAATATTTTCTACAGGTTAGAAAAGCTGATTGCAGTGGAATGTATGGAGAACGTTTAAAAGCTCTATAAGAAGTGCTGGAACAAGTGAATTCATGGGATAAAAGGGAGATTCCCAGAAATGCATTCAGAGTTTGGTAACACTGTGGTTTCAGTGATGCTTGTGAATCTAAATCCTACAGGCCAGTGCGGGGATGCCAGAAAACTACTGAGATTTTAAAAGGGTGGAGATGGAGAAAACATTTCTCCATCAGAGAAATGTCAGAGGGAGAAATGAAGCGGTGTGAGAAGCCATATTTCCCAGTGACACCTCAGAGGGCTTTTTTAGAAATTGGTGGAGCAAGCTGCTATCTGGTCCACAGGGAAGTACAGAGAAACCTGACAATGGGTAATTCCATGCCACCCACGGATATGCACCTTCCTTTCCTCTAGGCTTTGATATAAAATAGGTTCCCTACTGTCCTGGCTTAGCCTGTGCCAGGAGGGAAAACCCATGAAACACAGCGCCAGCCCCTGTGCTGGGAGCGCAGTGTAGAAACAGTGGTAGAGGCACCCAGCAGTGCCCAAACCACATCCCACTGTGCTGCGGGACTTCTGACAGTGAAGATGATCAGGCTAATTCAGAGCCAGTGCCAAATCTGGTGAGCCCTCCAGAGCTTGCACATGCTGGGGAGCACAGTGCAAAGCATCCACACAGCCAGTGAGGTTAGGGAGCTCAGCAGTCCCTAAAAGCGGGTCAGTTCAACCGACGTGGTGCTGTACCTTAAGTCATCACTCCCCACTGGTCTGGACTGTTTTCTGCACCCATGACAGTCTACAAGTGTGAACAGTCCACTTACGGAGAACTGACAGAACTACTTTTATTTATTTTTAGTATCACTGACCTTCAATTTCGTCTGATTTTTTTTTCAATGTTTCTAAGAAAGCACTATTTTCACTAAGCTGTGACAAGATGGTCTTTGCTTAGGTGAGTAACACCTCCCTGGAGAACCCTGTCAGGCACAGAGCGCTCAACCTTGAGAGGCAACAAGAGAAGGTAAAGAGGGGCCTGGGCTGGGGAACTCAAGAGGCATCTTATGAAATGTACCCTGGCTGGTGATGGAGCATTAGGGTGTATAACTGATAGGAATAAATGCCTGGACATCTCTTGGTAAAATCAGGAACGGGGATGGGGTTGAGAAGTCTCAGGAAGCAATGGAGTGGCTTGAAGACTCCACATTACACAAACGCAGAACAGTCAGGGCAGGTTCCTCAGTTATAAACCCAGGCTTAGGCAAATCCCGCTGTTTGGAGGCAGGGCCATAGGCACAAGTGTCAGCCTGACTCAATGTACAGAATTTTGCATGTACAAAAGCACACACCTGCATGTGTTCTGAACACAACATAGCTTTGAAGGCAAGGCTTATAAAATTGTTTAAATGAGCTAAGGGCAGAGCCAGACACAGAAAACAAGAAAATAAAAGTATTTTTTCACACTTCAGGGTGTGCAGTGACAAATCTGATCATTGTGACTTTTAGGCATCACCACAGTGCAAATTAATATAATGTGAATTAAAATGATACTTAGAGTTGCCTTGGAAGAACTTCACCGAACTGCCTGAAGGCATAAAGTCCTGCAAGCACTTACATGTGGGCTGGTCTCCTCAGATGCCATTGGCTTGTTGATGCTGTTCACAAATTTGTTCACGTGCTCAAAGTGCTTTGTCATCTCTGTTGCCAAAACCATATCAATAATGGCCTGGCGCAATGTCCGGTAATGATTTCTAGGAAAGAAAAATAGTTCCTGCTCACATGCCTGCCAGCAGAACTCCATCCTTTCCTCATCCCTGCCTGGACAGGACTGCAAAACACTGCTTGGGGGCTCATCCGCATGAGCAGGCGCCTTCAGAGTTATGAATGGTGTAGGGTTGGAGAAAAGGGCCAGATCACACCTCTCCAGGTTCCTCCAGCCCTGAATTCCTGTATTGCCTTTTTTCTGTTATTTTTACCTAATGAAAACCAAGCCCCTGAAGTCACTAAAAATTTACAATTCAATTTCATAATGGTGTAGCATGAAGACAACTTCTTCAGGAATGGCACCAACACGTTTCCATCTCACTGTATGTTAGTTTGGAACTCAAATCTCAGGTTTTTCAAAAACCAAGAGTGTTACAGAGGGCAGACGAATTCATTACTTGTTTGAGGTCAGGCCCTTTGCCTTTCAGATCCCTTTCCCTCCCACTCTGTCCCTGTAAAATCCCTGATGCAATGGAAACTCCCAGGCTACAGGCATGTCCGGTAGCAGGGTGCCTCCAACTCTCCCAGAGCTTCAGCTCCCTCCACTGCCACCCTTTGCTGTCCCATGTGAACGCAGCAGTGCCAGCAAGTCCATAGCCATGTGCAGACACAGCATGCAGCATCTGTCTGCTTGGGTGGAAACACATGGCCCAAAAAAGTTGTTTCCAGGCTCCTGCAATGAAAAGGCTGTGGGTCAAGATGCAGCCTTAAGGCTGCCAACTGGACCATGCCAATGTAATCTGTAAAACATTATCAAACGTCTCTATAAGCTTCCAAAAAATACAAATTGGAGGACAGTGAGGGAAAATTAAAGCCTTTTTAAAAAACATGTCTACATAGGATTGGGGAAGAGGTTAAATACTAATGTCTCTATTTAAATTATATTTTCTGGTTTAGAAGGTAGGCTCTCAATCTGCCCCAAACAAAAATCTCCAAACAAATAATCCATGCACGCACACTCCCATTCTCCAGAGACCCACCTATCAATATTCTTGAAAATGTTGCATTTGCTGTCTTTAGTTGTAAGCTGAAACGCCAGTGCTGTGTGATGACTCTCTAGCACAGCCGTGTCATTGTAAAGGACAGCTAATTCACTGCCTGCATTGCACAGGAAAGAGTTGGTCCGTCCAGGATGGTCTACATCATGAATGGTGGCAGCTATTAATGCAGCCACTTCATCTAAATGGTCAAGACTTCCCTATAGGAAGAGAGAAAAAATATGATGTGGCACAAAACCTACAGTAAATAATGTCTGATCATTCCCATTTATCCGCAAATACACAAGTGTAAGCTTGAGTGTAGGGATCCTATCTCCTTGCAATCATTTTCCACTCACCTGCACCCACAGGTTACCTACTCCAAAACTCCTCCTCCTGCCCTTACCCAAACCCTCTTTCCTGACTGAAGCTTTTTACTGTGCTGTCACCAAAGCAGTATCTTTGCATTAAATCCTTTAATGGTGGATGGATCCTCTAGCAGTGTCCTTCCACTTTGTGTACTTGCCTGAATGACTCTGTACTGACTCTGCTTCTACGCAGCTTGTGTGTTTTAGAACTGTATAGGACAACATATCTCAGTTGGAAAGGACCTACCAACTGCCTGAGCACTTCAGGACTGACCAAAAGTTAAAGCACGTTATTAAGGGCATTGTCCAAATGCCTCTTACACACTGACAGGTGTGGGGCATCGACCACCTCTCCGTGAAGCCTGTTCCAGTGTTTGACCACCCTCTCGGTAAAAAAATGCTTCCTCATGTCCAGGCTAAACCTCCCCCAGTTCAGCTTTGAACAATTCCCATGCATCCTGTCACTGGATCCCAGAGAGAAAATATCAGCACCTCTCTCTCCAAAGCTTTTGCAAAGCTTTATTAAGAGCTGCTGCTAACAGCCCTTTACCATGAGGTAGAAAAGAGCCAGGTTTCCAACCCCTATTCTTGCTGCTTAAAAATGTGAATTCCTTACTCATATGAACAGACTTTAAAGACACTGTGTGGGCCTGCAGAGGCATCACAGGAAGACTTCAAGGGCAGAGAGACTTTAGGAAGCCAGGACCATTATTTAAGTAAACATCTGACTTTTGAATGACACACATAAAATGGCAAACACACTGAAATCCTAGCCCAAAAGACTGAGGTGATGATTATACCTTAACTCTTTCCTTCCCAAGAAAGAAGGCGGTAGCGTGCAAGACATCTGCTGCATGTGTAGAGTTGTGGTATGAGTTGGAGGAGTGGTAGTTGGCTTCAATCATCTGCAGCCATGTTCGCAGCGTTCCTTCTGAACAGTTTAAAAACTCAGAGACCCCAAACCGGGCAAAAACTTTTAAGCCCAAATACACTAATGGCCTGAAAAACAATAGAATAAAAAAAGCATCACTGTAAAATAGGAACTTCTGATGTTTTAAAGTGTGATAGTTTTGACAAAGAAACCAACAAGACCTTAAAAATCAAAGGTGTGGGGGAAATGTTAAACATTTATTGCACATCTATAACCTCTCAAAAGCCTGGCCAAGGTTACAAATTACTACATCTACCATCCTTTCAGACATTATTTTAATATGCTTTGTAGAAATAGTTCAGTTCCACTAAAGATAAACCAGTTCTTATGGCTTCAGAAAGAATTCTTAATAGATTATGTCTTTCGTGGTTTTAGTATCTATCAATCAATCAATTTTTTTTTTTCTTCTGAAGAAAAAGCAGACTTTGAACATGACACAGGCACATCCCAAAGGCTAAAAAGCCCTAAGAAAATAAAAAGTCAAATGTTTACTATTTTGAATAAGCCTGTGACTTCCCAGGGTCCAGATTTCTACTTCCTGACTATTTGAAGTTGTCAATGTGCAAAGTATACTGAAGCCTCTCAGAGCAGGTTTTAGCATCAGGTTATTTCATATGAACTCTTCTAGCTTTAGGAGGACTGGATCACTCTCTAGAACTGAGGCAGGAGTTGGCCACTGGTAAACCTCTAATTCCAAATGCTTGAATTCCAAATTCTAACAGGCAGCAGAGAATGGGGTGTATGTGTGTGTGTGGAGAGGCTTAACGTCTAAAATTGAACTTCTGAACTTTAAGCTGAAGGCTGCTACTTTCTTGCTCCAAGTGGTATGGGCTGGACTAAACAGAAGTGGCATGTCCTGAATTCTACCAGCAGTGATCTCCCAGCTGGAGAGGAAATTTGAGGTCTGGTGAATGTCATGCTGGGGAGGACAGCGATGACCCTGTGTGTGAAACAGTAAATAGATGAAAATCTGTAATCTTGTTGGTTCTTAAATACACATCCATTCTGGGTTGTCATCTACTCTGCGTTGCCTGTCACAGAGTCCTATCAGTCACATTTTTCACTCCTTCAGGATGATGTAAAGGGCTCCTGAGCCAAGAAAGGCATAACCAAAAGACAACATCTGCAAGTTAAAACCAAGCAAATGCAAATTCCAAAAATGGCCATTTTCTTCAAGCAGAGTACAAGAGACCTGGTAGTTCTCTCCAATTCTTTACATCTTTGAATGAAAATCGCTTTTCTCTGTGGATGAGATGTTTGGTTTTGTGGTCTGCATGACCTCAGAACTACTGGTGTATTTAATTATAAGCTCTAAAATCTCAGTTTCTTGATCCTATCACTGCTTTATCCTCCCAGTTTTTTTATCCCTATAATTAAAACGCAGAGTTGCCTCAGAGCTTCCTAAATCATGGGGTGATTTATGTGGGGGAGGGGCGAGGCTTGCTTTTTCCAGCATGACCATTTGCGCATCAGCAGGA